ATTCCATATATCGTGGTATACCAGCCCCTCCTTAAAATTCCATAATGACCACAAATCCTCTCTAGAACTTTCTGGTCACAAACCATTTTTAATGCCAATATTGTAAATGTTTCTTTTTTCTTTATATTTTTTTATTCTGAAAATATTTCAGAAATACTGGATATATGATTTTTTCAACAAATTAGAGCATTTTGACTGTTAATTGGTTAACAGTGCACTGCTAACTGCAAAAATAGCTATGTTAAAGAATTTGGTTTGCGTCTTTACTAGTTAAATTCGAATTTATCTTCACACTCTCTGATTAAAAGAAGTATACCCGACAAAGACCTAAAATTTAAGCAGCATGCTTATGTAAAGGGACGATCGGTGGAAACCGCTTTAAACGAAGTTGTCCACTACATAGGTGCATCCTTTGATAGCAAACTGTATACACTGGCGGTATGTATTGACATCGAAGGCGCCTTCAATAACGTGCACTCTGATACTCTTATCCAATCCCTAGACCAGTTTTATGTTGACTGGGTGCTCCGTAACTGGATCAACCACATGCTAAGGAACAGATGGATAAGCTGCGAGATGTATAATATAACTATCAGGAAAAAGGTATTTCGCGGTATACCACAGGGTGGCATTTTGTCACCTTTACTCTGGGTTACCACGATTAATAGCCTCCTAAGGATCCTAACCGAGAAAGGACTTAGACCTGTCTGCTATGGAGACGATGTCGTAATACTGTTAAAGGGAAAGGATCCAAATTACTTGTGTAGAAGAGCTGCGGAGGCTGTAAATACGGCCTTGAGCTGGGCTCAACCGAGAGGCCTCAATGATAACCCGGCAAAAATGGAAATCTGTCTATTCACAAGAAAGACAAAAATATCTACGTATACTGAACCTTGCTTCCTGGGCAAGAAGATGCCAGTGACAGACAAAGTTAAGTACTTAGGTGTAATCCTCGACCGGAAATTAAAATTGAGACACCACATAGAGGATAGGATCAACAATGCACATCGGTGCTGGGCGATATGTAGGAGAACTGAAATGGGGTCTTGGTCCTACTATGACAAATTGGCTTCATAAAAGTGTAATTAGACCAATTCTAGCTTATGCTTCAATAACCTGGTGGACTGCTTTAGACAAAAAATGCAATATCAAACTACTACATGGAGTTCAGCGTACTTGCTGCTTGGGTATAAGTGGTGCCATGTGTACTACTTCAACCAAGGCTCTGGAAACGTTGCAGATATTCCACCCATTGAAACATATTTAAGATATGAGGCGACGCTTACAGCAGAACGGCTCTTTACTTTAAGCGAACTGGACAAAAGCGGTTAGATGACATGTCATCAATGTATACTGGACACATTGGAAGGTCGTACACAATTATCGGACGTGCCACAGAATATGTCGGAAACTTTGAAACGCTGATCCCAGATAGAATGTCTTGGTCAAGCGGAACATTAGAGCAAATACCAGTAGGAAACCGTTGTTACACGGATGGCTCTAAATTGGGGGACAAAGTGGGGCTGGGGTTCTATATTGAAGACCCAGAAACAGAAATATACCACCATTTACCAAATCATAACACAAGCTTCCAGGCAGAAGTACGAGCAATAACGGAATGCGTAAATTGGATTAGAATAAATATGGACAGTTAAACTCTGGAAACTTAGATCCAAGTATCTTGGAAGTGATGTTATTCCGGAAATAACATTCCTGACTAACACTGATTGGAAGATTCTTAGGAATTACGTTCAGGAAACTAAGTTTATGAACACAGAAAAATAATTCATTCAGTTCCCATTTTATTTCATGATAAGGAGCGCACAACTGGCCCGATAGTGGCCTAGGTGTATTTCTTCGGACTTGATGTAGCATACATCCTCCTATCAACCTACCGACATATAAATTTAATATTTTTTAAAAACACAATGGTGAAGGGTATATAATGTTCGGCAAAGGCGAATATAGATTTCTTACTTGTTTAAAATTACAAAGAGCATTATTTAAATTGAGTTATTGAACTTTTGGGTTATATTGGACCTAAGTGCTTTAAAGGGTTAATTTTATTTTTTGCTGTTATTTTAAATATCGGACTATATGCAATAAATTCCTGTTAATTTAGTAAATATGGCCAACAAATAAATAATATTTCGATATGTTTCTGGGAGAATTTCCAAATATTGCAAAATTTAATCTTTGACCTCCAAAGTTAACACCTTAGGATTTTCCGACTTATATATAACTTCAGGGACATATTTTATATTCTGTAAATATTTTGTTTAAAATGTACAACAGTAAAGAATTTGGACATATTTTCTAAAATATTACAAAAAAATTATTTTTTTCCCGAAATTCGCAGAATTCAAATAACATAATTTTAAAAAAACTGAAAATAGAATTTTGAAACTGCCGTGTAAAATTTTTTTTAACATATCTCAGAACAGGTTCACGTTATCTTTTAAGGACAAAAACCTATATTCGAGTAAATATAAATATATTTTATATAATCAAATAGTTTTATTGGAATATTTTTCAAAATAAGTTAAATTTTTTTCCACACTCTCTAATCAAGTGCTCTGAGACTCGTTAATGAATTTTTAATAAATTTTACATTTTTCAACTAATTTTTGTGTTTTATATCATTTTGAAATACTAAATCTATGTATATTATGATTCTTTAACAATAATATGTAAAAATATTTACTTAATAACAACATTTATTACATAATATCAAGATATAGGAAATATGCTCCTACAGTGAACACGTCACGTTTTTGGAGACAAAAGATGTTGTAACTCTGTTTGATTTAAAGTAACCAGAATTTTGTATATAATATAAATTTTGAAGAAAAATATTAGCTTTGTGTTGAGATATTTGTTTCTTTTATTTACCCATCTGGAGTTATGGCTTCATATGTTAGCTTTTTGGTAAAAAATTTGGATTTTTTTCAAACTTTGAACAATGAGCGGCACGTGTTAACGTCGTTTAATCCAGTTCAAATTTCGGCTACCTCAATATCTGGCAAGGAGAATCGTTCTGTGGGGTTCAGACGAACATGATTCCAACTTTTTTGTGGTCACTCTAGTGTGCATTAAAACCAAAACAAGAATTTTTTATGAATACAAGTGTTAATGTTTAACGAGCTAAAACTACAATCCCTTTAATTTAATTAAAGTTAAATTTTGAATAATATGTATTATTGGAGAATAAGCTGGTTCCCATGCGCTTTTCGGCAGCTCAATATTAAATTTATTCAAATAAATTTAGAATATATTATTTGGTTGGAGGATTTCAATATTTATTGTATAAAGCATTTTTGATTTTTTAATGAATAACAAACCTAAAAATCGTTAATAAAGAAAGAGTTAATTTGTATTGAACTTAGCGTAATATTAATATATTTTTTAAAATCAAACTTAAAAACAAGTGAGAGTGTTATATTCGGCAGTGCCGAATCTTATATACCCACCATTATTTGTATTGAACTTAGCATAATATTAATATATTTTTTAAAATCAAACTTAAAAACAAGTGAGAGTGTTATATTCGGCTATTCCAAATCTTATATACCCACCATCAAACTGTATGCCGTAAAAGGAATTCTCCCCTATAAACATCAGAGTGATATTACTCATCAAATTAACTGAATATGACCTTATATGAGAGATAGGGTTTATTATTGACCGTATTTCATAAAATTTTTAATAAATTATTTTTAGACTGATTTTGGTTCATATAAAACATCTTCCCGACATTTTCCGCATGAAATTCGGTAGGAAGATTTACGTTGCTATAAATGTTTCTTATATCAAATTTCATAACTGTTCACGTATTTTTAAGTCAGCAATGATCGTTATGGACCGATCCTTAATAAATTAGGTAGAGAAATTTTAACTCGTATAAAACATATGTATGTGTGTCGAAAGCTATCTCTTATTTTTGAGACGGTAATGAGTTTTAAAGTTATGTCGAATTTCATCTCTATACTTGTACTTTTAAGCCAGTAATGAGTGTTAAATTAATTATTTGAAGAAGATCTTATAGGGGGTGAGGTGAATTATCCACATAAAATTTGGTTAAGAGATTTTGGTTCGCAAAGAACTTAGTTGGGTCGAATTTTATCGCTTTACTCGTATTTTTAAGGCAGTTAAGTGTTAAGTGTTTGAAGGGACTTTATATGGGGGTAGGGTCAATTGCGGACCGAGACCGAGAGGTTTTGGATTATAAGAGACTTACTTATGTCAAATTTCATTGTATTTTTAAGTCAGTAATGAGCGTAACATTGAAACTTATATGTGTCGAATTTCATCGCTATATTCATATTTTTAAGGCAGTAATAAGCGTTATAGTCATTTTATGAAGGAAACCTTTTATGGGGGGTGGGATCAATTATGGACCGATCCTCATAAAATTTGGTAGGAGGATTTTGGATCACATGAAACTTATTTATGTCGAATTTCATCGTACATTTAAAACAGATATGCCCGTTAAAGTGGTTTTCCGGGGGTCCACTTGTATGGGGGTATTGCCCATTTTCAATACCAAACAAACATTGCCTTACCGTTCGGCTTACCTTATCGTGCTTTCAACAGACAGACAGTCGGACTTACAGACGGACAGACATGGCTAGATCGTCTTAGAATTTAATAAGTATATATATACTTTTGTGGGTCTATGAACAATATTTCGATGTGTGGTGGGTATAATTATTAGACAGTGTAAATATGTATGTATATCAAAAATTTATTATGACATATTTTCAACACATTCGAAAAAAAATTATTTTCAATTTGACTTATAAAATGTTAAGATTAGCCTTTTTATATTGTAAGTATATTATTAAATAGATATTGTACTAGGTACCAGTACAAAAAAGGTATATGTTTGACATTAATTTATATGAAATACTACTGTTGTATTTTCTTGACCAAGCTTTTAATCCAATATATAATAAATTTCTTCCCATTCTTCTTTATTATAATTATGAACAAAATATAGGTACGACATGCGTCTTTAACACGCCAACGTTCGGCATTCAGGACCCATCAGCGGCATAGATCTGTAAGTTCTGCTTTTAATAGATCATCGTTTTGTTTTGTGTTGTTTTTTGACGACTTTAATTTTAATATATTGAAATTTTTTATTTAATTATTTATATATCTCCTTACTTTTAACTAACACTACCGGTTTTATAGTGCAGACTTAGAGAAAAATTTAACTTAAGCTTTAAACATTTCATATAATTTTCAAAACTTAAGTAAAATTTTTTCCTTATGGATAATTATAAAAACCGGCTCAAACTTTAGGCTTATACCGCAGGCCTACACAATTTGAAAAAAAGCGCAACATAGAGACCAAAATACACATTTCTACGCATTTAGCATCGCTTAATTTTAATCTGGCCTCATAATTCCTCCATCACTTCAGGTTTTGAGATATTATGACCTTGAAACTTAAAAAATCAAAATTTTTAACAATATTTGAGACCTTTTAAAAGCGGCCACCTTTATTTATAAAATCTGTTATAACGTCTGTCAGTCCAATCTGTCGACTTTAAAATAAAGGTTTAATATCTGTCATATCTTTATCCTTCTTCGAGATATCTTAACTTAAAGCTTGAAACAACTTAAATACCAAACAATTTTATATTGCCTTTATTTTACTACATCGGACGTTATCTTCGTAAGTACAAAAGAAAGAAATTCAAATGGATGTTTTGAAAAAAATTTAACAAATTAATGGAAATAGAGATACAAATTTTGTTTTTGTAATTTTATGGTTGTTCCAAGCTTTAGGTTATAAGAACACAAATATAGCCAAAAATGGGGATTCTTCAGTTTTTAGGATACGATATCTCAAAACCCCATTTTAGCTCTATGTTAAAAATTTGTTGACCTGTGTACTTTTAATAAATAAACTACATTTTTGACAATTTTGTTGTTACATACAGTTTACCCATTCTTTAAGTGTAAAATTGTGATATTTTTTCATAATCAGATATGTACCTAGATCCGCGATCGGCAGACATATACTACCACATTTTGCACTTATATAAGTGTAAGAGCAAACAAGTTAGAGTGCTATATTCGGCTGAGCCGAATCTTAAATACCCTCCACCAGCTATTTATATATTAATACTTTTCTAATTGATCAAATATTTGTAGAAATAAGTTTTCTCATGTCTTGAATAGAAGAAATACAAAGATTTAAACAGCTTAAATCTATTACAATTCCATGATTTATTGAACACTAGATTTTTGTACACGGCGTTGTCCGGGGTTTTAAGTGGTTTCATAACATTATACTTAAGTATTCTCCCCTTTCCCTTTCTTCTTCATGTTTGAAAAAATGCTAAAGGTCTCTTTATGAAGAAATTCATTATAATTTTTTTGTGATCTTATAAAGCTACAAATGAAATTTCATTAAAATTGAACAATATTTTTAAAAGGTACCAACACAGTTCCACAAATACTACCTATACCATTTTTCTCCATTGAATTACCCAAATTTATGTATTTTGTTTAATAAATTTTGTATCATTTCAGAAATTGATGTTGAAAATATGAGTCATGTAGAACATTTATTAAAAAAATCATGTATCTCCCCTTTTTTCCTCCCTTTTCCTCTTTAATGATGTTTTGCAAAAACTCATTACTTACTATCAAAAGTACTTATTTTGCCGGTTTTCACCCATTTCCCCCTTTTTGTCTAAAGCGCCCGCCAAGTATAGATATAACTTTGCTACAAATTTTTAGAAAATCGGTCCAGCCGTTTAGGCGTGATTGACGAAAAAACAAACAGACTTACAAAGAGATTTATATTATATATTATGAATTAGGTTTTTAGGATTAGGATTTCATACAGCGATATTTAAAATTAAAGTCAGATAGGACATTTATTAAAACAAAGTAAAAAATTCCCTTTTTTACCCACTGGATAGATGCTTTGCAAAAACATAATTTTTTAAATCATTGTATATTTACGAAATTTCATAAAAGTACCAATATAACAAATAATTATACTTTTTTATTCGTTAATTTAAATAACCCAAAAATATGATATTTGTTAGTCCCTTGCTCCATTAAAATATTAATATTTAAAATTTTATGTCTTTTGGAAATTTTATACAGCAAACATCGATCTAGCCTTTTAGGCGTGATTGACGAACAAATAAACAAAGGAACAGACTTACAAAGAGATTTATAATATATATTAGGATTTGATGTCTTTAGGACATTTTATACAGCAAACATAGAATTCCTTTTTTTACCCGTTTTTGTCCCCATTGGGTGGGCTTCCAAAATATGCATATTTCCGATACTATAAAAAGCGCAGTTGATATAGAACAGATAAAAATTAGTCTTAAAGCACAAAATTACTAATTTTGCCCGTTCTTCCCCTTTTGTCATATTTCTGATAGTTTAAAAAGCTTAATGGAATATATTTTGGCTTAAGCAAAGACAATAATTGGTATTTATGCTTAAAAGTACTAACTTTGACCACTTTTCACCCATTTACCCCCTTTTTGCGCCCTCCTAGTCCAAGTTTTGAAAAACTATACAGCCTATAACACCCTCCAATGATAGATCTACCTATGTTCCAAATTTCAAGAAAATCGGTCTAGCCGTTTAGTCAAAAGTACTAATTTTGCCCGTTTTTCCCCCTTTAGTCATATTTCTGATACTTTAAAAAGCTTAATGGAATATATTTTGGCTTAAGCAAAGACAATAATTGGTATTTATACTTAAAAGTACTAATTTTGACCGCTTTTCACCCATTTACCCCCTTTTTGCGCCCTCCTAGTCCAAGTTTTGAAAAACGATATAGCCTATAACATCCTCCAATGATAGATCTACCTATGTTCCAAATTTCAAGAAAATCGGTCTAGCCGTTTAGGCGTGATTGACGAACAAACAAAAGAACAGAACAAAGAGATTTATACTATATATTAGGATTACAAACGCATTTGCATGTATGCATGTGTGTAAAAGATTTAAGGATTTTCAAAATAAATATATATAATTTTGTTCTACACAAATTGATAATGCAACTAGTTAAATACGGTTAAAGCGCTTTTAGGGGCAGGACATAGTATGGGAGATATGACCAATTATAGACCGATCCAGAAGTTTTTTCTCTGAATGAATTCTATTCACAAAAGATTTTAATTTATAAAATTTTGTAAAGATTTCGACATTGTGACGGAAGTTATTAACAAAAAAATTCTTTAAGCAAAATTTCTGTTCATAAAAGCTACATTTCAGTCAAATTTTATATCTATATCGTAATTTAGTAATAAGTAATGTGTGTTTAAGTGATTTTCTGAAGGGAACCTTGTATGGGAACGACCCATGTTATGAACCAATCGTGAAAAAATCTTGAAATAGAATTTTTGTATACAAAATTAATATTTGCCCAAATTTTTTATTAATAGCTTTATTTGGTAATGAGTAATGTGCGTTTAAGAGATTTTCGTAAAAGGACCTTGTATGGGAGCTTTGACCAATTATGTATATAAAGACAAAATTTCAAAATTCTGTATCTATATCATTATTTGGTAATGAATATTGTGCATTTAAGTGATTTTCTGGAGGGGACCTAGTATGAGAGCTATGACCAAATATGGACCGATCGTAAAACAATTTTATAGTTTAATTTATGTATATAAGAGCAATATTTTTGCTAAATGTATGGATATCAATATTTTGTATTCTGAAAGGGACCTTGTATGGGAGCTATGATCAATTATGGACCGATAGAAAAACAAATTCACAGTAATATTTCTCTGTATATGAGCAATGCTTATGCCAAACTTTATATGAATATCTTAATTTAATAATGAGTTATGTGCGTTTAAGTGATTTTCGGGAGGGGACCTTGTATGGGAGCTATGACCAATTATAGACCGATCGGAAAAAAAATTTCACAGTAATATTTTCGTGCATATGTGGATATCTTAATTTTGTAATGAGTTATGTGCGTTTAAGTGATTTTCGGGAGGGGACCTTGAATGGGAGCTATGACCAATTATGGACCGATGGAATAAAAATTTCACAGTAATATTTCTGTATGTGAGACCAATACTTGTACCAAATTTTATATGGATATCTTAATTTAGTAATGAATTATTTGCGTTTAAGTTATTTTCGGGAGGGGACCTTGTATGGGAGCTATGTCCAATTATAGACCGATCCAGAAAATTTTTTCTCTGAATGAGTTCTATTCACAAAAGATTTTAATTTGTAAACTTTTGTAAAGATTTCGACATTGTGACGGAAGTTATTAACAAAAAACCCATTTTCCGGGAATATGTACTTTTGTATGGGAGGTATATGAAATTGTTGATCGATTCTGGCAATTTTCAGCAGGAGTCAAGCTCTTGTGTAGAAACGAATGTATGGTGATTTTCATGGAATTATCTTGCATAGTTTTCGAGAAAATTACATCAGAATGTGTAAAAAATGCTTATTTTTTTCGAGGTTGTTTCAAATTTTGATTCATAACTTTTCCCGGTGTGCACCGATTTTTCTTATTTTCAATACCAAACTGCCTAGGACAATAATAAATATTTTGGGTGAATTTCGTTAATTTTTGTTGCTTCGTGTTAACGTGAGAATGTTTTATACAGACAGACGGACATAGCTAAATCGACTCAGATTTTCATAAGGTCCAAGAATATATATACTTTGTTGGGTTTCAGATGAATATTTCTTGGTGTTACACACGGAATGACAAAGTTATATATACCCTCTATCACCACTGATGGTGGTTGTGGGTATAAAAACAAGAAATGAGAAATAATCGCACTCTCATCTTCACAACAAGGCATGCGTGGAAAAATGAAATTCAGAAATATGTAATATTAATCTAAAACAAAACTTATATTTTTTATTTTAAAAGTAGCAAATATTTTTGGGCTTATTTGCACATATTTATTCTAAGTATTGAAATAGGAATATGAGCTTCTTAACTAAGTTTTTAATGAATTATATACCTATTAAATGTAAAAATTTAACATAATTACATATATATTTATGTAAATATTTGTAATTTTCTACTTA